AGTCAGTTTCAATAATTTATGCGTATAGATATATCTATTCACCAACTTCTAAAAAAATTTAAACTTTATTGGAATAAAGGTGGTCATGATATTCTCCTAAAACTCTTGAAATCTCTGCTGCATTCTGGTCAGGCCCCTATGGTAGTCACTTCGGCAATTCATAAATATTCTATTTCTTCTTCAAGCCCACCGTAGCGTTGTACTAGCTCATTACCTCTGAAGCAAGGTGTAGTCTCGTGACCTGCTTTGCTCAGTGTGAGTAGAACAAATAAATGCCACTTTTCAGAAAATTTTAACAGCCAGTTCCCTTCTCTCAGATGTAGCAACGATGGAAATATGCATTGAAATAAAGCTTCCATCAGCCTAAGTCCCTGAGTGACTATAATGAGCCTATAATGAACAAGTAGTGAGCACAAGAATTCATTTTTTGTATTGTTAAGTCACTGAATTTTGGGGGTTATCTAGCTTATAATGTAACATATCTTAACTATTACTTTTTTTCATTCCTTTTCTTCTTTTTTCTTCCCAGAAATTATTGACTTCACTAGTCATTCTAAAGAGCAATTTTCATTTTTCTATTGTATTGTTGTTTATTGTTTTATTAACTTCTTCTGTCACTGTCCAATGTCCATTAAGATTTTTTTTTAACCTATGTAAAATATAGAGGCATATTTTAAATTCTAAACAACTGGGAAATTTTTAGTTATCTTCTTTTTGTTATTATTTCTATCTTAATAGCAGTATGACCAGAGAATATGGTCTGTGTGGTACCAATTCTCTTAAATTTTTGACGCTTGCTTTATGGCTTAGTATACAATAAATTTTTAGAAATATTCCATTTGTGCTTGAAAGAAATTTGTGTTCTCAAGTTGCTGAGTGCAGTGTTTATGTGTATTAGATCAAACTTAACTGCATTGTTCACATTTTCTGTAGTCTAATTTTTCATCTGACTATGGATATGTTAAATTCTCATCAGAGTTTTGCTGATTTTGTCTATGTATTTTGGAGCTAGATTATTATGTGAATTCAAACTGAGAACTGAATTATCTTCTAGGTGAATTAAAACTTTCATCAATATTTAATTACCATCAATATCTCTACTTTTTGCTCTAAAGTCTATTTTGCCTACACCTACTTTTTATTGTACAGCATTTGGCTGGCATGCATTTTTTCACCCTTTTAACTCTCAACTTTTCTCTCTTTTTTTTGGTGTGAGTAGGAGTTTTACTCTGTTGCTCAGACTGAAGTGCAGTGGCATAATCACAGTGCACCTCAGCCTTGGCCTCCGGGGCTCAGGCGATCCTTCTGCCTCTGAGTAGCTGGGACTACAGGTGCACATCACCACACCTGGCTAATATTTAGATTTTTTTTGTAGAGACATGGTCTCACTATGTTGCCCAGACTGACCTTAAACTCCTAGGCTCAAGCAATCCTCTTGCCTCAGCCTTCCAAAGTGCTGGGATTACCAGCATGAGCCACTGTGCCAGGCCTTCTGTAGCATTTTATTTTAGATATGCTTATTATAAACAAAAGAGAACTGAACTTTATCCATTCTAATAGACTCTGTCATTTAACAAGACCATTTATACATTATTGTGATTATATTTACATATATTTCTATCTTGTTTTGTGATTCTTAAAAAATTATTTCATTTTATAAATATTTGTTTCTTCCTCTCCTCTTCCTCCTCCTCCTTTCTCAAGATTCTCTCTGGGTTGTTTGGGCAGTGTTTTTTCTTTTTTTTTTACCCCCGACTCTCATTTTATTTTTTTCTTTCTTGTTTCCAGGTGGTATATTCTATTTTAATTTTTATAGTAGGTTATTTACCCTAGAAATTTTAATATGCATATTTAATAAATTCTGAAGTTAATAAACTTGCTTAACTTCCTCCCAACAATATAAACCCAAGGATTACTTCACCTCTCATCACTTTCTTTCGGTTGTACAGTATTTTAGTTCTATCATGTTTGCTTTAAACGTCACAAATCAGATGTTAGTATTATTTTCTACAGTTTGTATATGATTTTCCTACATGTTGGCCATGTTTTTGTTCATCACTTCTTACTTCTCAGACTGTCCTTCTGGCACCATTTTCTTCTTCCTAAATTATATACTTTCAAGTTCCTTCAGTAAGAATCTCAGGCTTTGTTCATTCTTTTTATCCTGCTCCTATTCTAGGAAGTTATTACTACTATATTTGGTGTCCTGAAATTTACTGTAACATCTTCTCGTACCTTTCTTTCATTTATCCTGCCTGGGATATATTAAATTTCTTGAATAAGAGGATTCAAGTTTTTCAACATTTCAGGAAAACCCTTAGTCATTCTTCAAACTGTACATTTTCTTTTATCTATTATTTCCCTTAAGAATTGTAATTAGAGGCGTAATGAATTATCTTCCTTTACCCACTCTTAACTTTGATTTTATATTTCTTCTTTCTCTTTATCTCTATATTGCATTTTTAGAAGTTTTTTTTTGAATATTTTAGTGCTCAAATTTTCCTCTCAAATGTCTGCTTTGTTGCTTTACCTATCCACCAAGTTTCTGTCTTCGAGTAATATATTTTCATTTCATTCTATTTGATTTGTTTTCAAATGTACTGATCTTTTTATTACTTATTTGTCTGTTATACTTGCAATCTTCTTTTGTTTCCTTAAATATATGGTCTGCATCTCCTATCTGCAGGTTCCATATCTGCAGATTCAACCAACCATAAATCAAAAATATTTTGAGAAAAAAACAATTTAAAAAAAATGTAACAATTAAAAAAATAAAAATTTAAAAATACAGTATAATAGTTATTTACATGGCATTAACACTGTATTAGGTACTGCATATAATTTAAAGATGATTTTAACTGTAAGAATGTGCACAAGTTATATGCAACTGCAATGCCATTTTACAAGACTTGAGATTTTGTAGATTTTGGTATCTGTGGAGGGTCCTAGAACCCGCCCAACCCCCATACAGAGAGACAGTACACCTAGTTTATATTATATATCTAGAAGCTTTATAGATCTGTTTGTGCAATCTGTTAATCGTTGCTAGCTCTTATTTTAGGTGATTCATTTTCTCCCATATTTTATAATTTTTAGGTATGAATTACTGAATTTCTTGGAACTTTATGTTAGCATTCTTTTGAGGTCTAGATTATTTTTTGTATTTTCCTTCAAAGGATTTACATTCACTTCTGCCAAGTGCCTGAAGATACTACTAACTGGAACCATTTCAAACTAAAATTGCCACTTATAATATTTAGGTCACATAGGTAATAAGAATTCTGGCCCCAAACCTGTGTTAAGGTTTGTAGTTAAGAATTCTTTGGACCGGGCTCAGTGGCTCAGCCTATAATCCCAGCATTTTAGAAGGTCAAGGCGATTGGATTGCCTGAGCCCATGGAATCGAGACCAGCCCTGGCAACTTGGCGAGATCTTGTCTCTACAATAAATCAAAAAAATCAGCCAGGCATGGTAGCGTGTACCTATAATTCCGGCTACCTGGAAGACTGAGGCGGAAGGAATGCTGGAGCCCAGGAGAGGTTGATGCTGGAGTGGCCGTGAGCGTGCTACTGCATGGCAGCCTGAGTGACGAAGTGAGACCTCCAACTCAAAAAACAAAAGGAATTCTTTGGAAGACATTTTTTCACCCATTCTATTCAGAACTAAAAATAAGAAAAGTAATTTCCTGTCCCATTCTATAGTGTGTTTTGTTTTTGTTTTTTCCTCTGCTATACACAGTGTTGGTTTCCAGGTTTTATTTTCTAGCCCTTCCCCAACGTCAGAACATCCCAACCCAGTGCAAATAATTCAACACCAGGCTTTAAGGTCCAAGGTAACAGCAAATGCTCCAGAGGAAGCAACTACAGAGCTTGCTTATGTCTTCAGATTCACACTTCAGGTGTTCCATCAACAATGAACTACATATTTGATAGTGGTCTCATAATACTATAATGGAGCTGAAAAATACTTATCCCCTACTGACATCCTAGCTAGCTAACTAATGTCACGATGCAACGTGGTGACACTGGTGCAAACAAACTTACTGTGCTGCCAGTTATATAAAAGTAAAGCACATACAATTATGCACATTACATAACACTTGATAATAAAAGCCTAATTAAGGATATAAAGAAGAAAAATATTTTTGTACAGCTGTATGGTGTATTTGTGCTTTAAGCTAAGTGTTATTACAAAAAAGTCAGTAAGTTAAAAACTAAAAAGTTATAAAGTAAAAAAGTTACAGTGAGCTAAGGATAATTTATTATTGAAAAAAAAAGGCTTTTAAATAAATCTACTGTAGCCTTATAGGGTTTATAAAGTCTACAGTAGTGTACAGTAATGTCCTAGACCTTCACATTCACTCACAACTCACTCACTGCTTCACCCAGAGCCACTCCAAACCTACAAGCTCCATTCATGGTAAGTACTCTATACAGGTGTTCCATTTTTAATCTTTATACTGTATTTTTATTGTACCTTTTCTATGTTTAGATAGGTAAATACTTATCATAGTGTTATAACTACCTATAACATTCAGTACAGTAACATGCTGTACAGGTTTGTTGCCGAGGAGTGTAATAGGCTACACCATCTAGGTTTGTGTAAGTACACTCTATGATGGTCACACAACGACAAAACTGCCTAACAAAAAGTTCTCTAGAACACATCCTCATCAATAGGCAATTTATGATGATATTTTATTTCTGCTCTTGATAAATTTACTTCACGGTTCTACAAACCCAGTAATGCATTTAAAAAAAAGACATATTACATTGTTTCTAGTATTTCAGGTAAAAGATTCTTGGAGAATTCTCTAGATATACAATCCAAAATACTTCTAGAAATGAAAATCCGCTTTCAGCTTCTCTACCTGTCAAATTTACTCCTTCATTCAAGCACTATAAGTTTGCTATACCCAGGGAACTGAGATGTAGAAATTGATTTGCTACTGAAGGCAATTTAATGATTCTGAATTTTCTCAAAAAGTATTTATAACTCACCTTATCTGCCCGTCCCATGAAAGCAGGTTTGCCTGCTAACCCAAGGCAAATGGCACACACGATACTCGACTTCCCTGTTCCATTAGCTCCAATAATCATATTCAAGTGGGGTCCGGGAGATACTTCACAAATGTCATATGTTCTGAATTAAAAAGAGGTGAAATTATTAAGCAGAGATTTTTAAAAATTTCCTTTACAAAAACACTTTTTCTTGCTTTACATTATTTATAAGCTTCCTTAAATTCCTTTAAAAAAAGGATTAACCTTAAAAATTTAATGTTTTTTAATAGGTTGCCAATGAACAACTTTAGAGGTAAAATCTATCGGTGGAAGAAATGAAAAAAGCAAAAATGCATATCTAAAATAAGAATATTATTTCCCATGCTTTTTTCAAAAGTAAGTCTGTTAAAAAAGCAAAGTTTGAAATACTTCATCTTTTAGTAATTACAATACAACTGGAGACTGTATCAAAGCCACTGTCCAAGTAAAGCCGTTTTAAAACAGATTTCATGAAATGGCATGGTTTAGCTTAAATCTGTAAAGTCTGTACTTATATTTACCTTAAAATGCTTAATGGCTACTTCTCATATTTTAAGATATGAAAAAATCCAACCAAATGTTTATTCTAACTAGAAAACTAGAGATATATATTAACCCAATGATTTCATTTCATTTATCTTTAAAACATTTTTTTGAGCCAGGCATGTTTGTGTGTGCCTATACTCTCATCTACTCAGGAGGTTGAGAAGAGAGGATCACTTAAGCTCAGGAGCTCGAGACCAGCATGGGTAACATAGTGAGATCTCTAAAACAAACAAAAGTTGCAGGCTGTCCAGCACTCTAACTACAGTTAGAATCTAATCCTTATTAGATTCCAGGGACAGTTATGGCAAGCAAACTCTGACTGAGATTTCTTCTGCGTTGTCTTTCAATATGCTGAATTGGAACCCATAATGACGTTCTTTGCCCACAGCATTTCAGTTAGCTCTCAGGTAGCTGCCAACGAATTCCCCAAGAATAAATGTTTAACCTGATAGCAACCTGCTAGGTATATAAATAACTAAGTATACTTCATCTCTAACATTTAAAGAAATTAATGATTTTGCAATGCCAGGTGGTAATAAAAAGAAATACAGGTAGCAAAGAAGAAGTATTTTCTAGCAGGTTTGCCAACTCCATACGTTCACACAGGATCTATCTACTTTGTCTTCTCAGGTACTTTGTTCCACCAGCAGTTGGGTCGTAAAAGAATCCTTTATAATTTTGCTCAGCCTGTAATCCCGCGTCTTTGGGAGGCTGAGGTGAGTGGATTGCCTGAGCCCGCGGGTTCGAGACCCGCCTGGGCAGGCGAGACTTCATCTCTACAATAAATCAAAAAAATCAGCCGGGCGTGGTAGCACGCACCCGTAGTTCCAGCTACTTGAAAGGCTGAGGCGGAAGGATCGCCAGAGCCCAGCAGGTCGAGGCTGCGGTGGCCGGGAGCGGCCACTGCACTCCAGTCTGGAGCGACAGAGTGAGACTC